CTAAATACAAAAAGATATAAGACGAGATGGAAGTCAAAATATTTTGACATTTTAAAAAAAAAATTTAAAATATTATTGAAACTTTTAAAAGTTTAGAATTATTTTTTGATATTAAAAGACTAAATTTAGAAATATTTTTTAAAATTAATTTAGCATAATTTAATTTTCAAATTATTATTTTAATAGAGCCTTCCTTTTCCCTCGTAATTCCAGTTTTTAATTGGGCATTTTATTGTTCATTCTATTGGATTAAAGAACTATGAACTATATATATATATATAAAGAAAAAAGAAAAAAAAGCATTTATAGTGATGACCCGGTGCAACAGACCCAACCGGGCGGGTCTGAACCGGAGAACGACCTGTCGCTGACGTCTGCCGTGGCTGACCCTCTTCCTCCGGTAAATCCTGAAGTCGTATAGTTCTCGTGCTTTCAGTTCCCAAATTTCCTTTCATCTTTACTATCTGTGAGCTTTCTGCAACTTCCACACCCTTAGGTGTTTTTGCTTGTTTTCCACAATCTAACAATTTGAAGTTGGATTGATTTGGGAACATTGTACAGAACGAACTCGAACATCTAAACTGTTTGATAATATGAGCGTTGTTCCGAAGGAGACGATTGAAGTCGTTGCGCAGAGCATTGGGATTTCCAACCTATCCCCTGAGGTTGCTCTTGCGCTCACTCCAGATGTCGAGTACCGGGTCCGTGAAATCATGCAGGTATTGTTACTGAAATTACCGATTGGGCGTTTCTTTGAGAATTTTATGCTTAATACATAGAAGCATATCAATTACGTCGCTGCTGGAGATCTTTTTTTTTTCTTCTTCGGTTAGATACGATTAATATGTACTCTGGTCAATTTTGATGTTGCAATTCAGTGGAAGTAAGATGTATAATGCTATATTTGGTCATTAAGTGTATCGTTTAGAATTTGTTTCATCATCCTCGGAAGCTTTCAGTACTAAACATGGCATTGTTAATGGTGTCTAGGGCTTTTAGAATCTGAAGGTTGTTTGATTTCTATTGTCATTGAAATGCAGGAGGCAGTTAAATGCATGCGTCATTCGAAGCGAACTGTTCTCACTTCCGTGGATGTTGACAACGCACTTAAATTAAGGAACTTAGAGGTGAGTTACGGTATTGTAGGGAGATGCTGTCTTCTCTTTCTCTATTTATGTTTATATTAATATGGTATCCTTTGGGAATTTGATTTGGGTATTTTTCTTGATTTTTACTTATTCATTTTGTGTTTAAGAAATTTAATTTTGGATGTGTTAGTTCATTAGCCCTTTTTTACTCACTAGTGATTTTGAGAAGTAATTCATAAGTTATTTTATAAATATCTAACTTGAATGGTCGTGATTTTTCAGTAGTTTCTCCACTTTCTGATACTAAGTTTTGTAATGAATGATGTTATTACAATTTCTATTATTCCGTCAACTTGTTGGTGCTACTTACTTGTTTTTAATATTTAGCAAACGAGTTCTCTATCCACGTCTTCGTTTAGTATTAGTATCGGCTTGTGCATACCAAAACCTTTGATTTGCTCTGTATTGAATGTGTTATAAAGTAGTTTCTATTTGGATTTGTATGGCCAACATCTAATACCCCCTGTTTTTATCTATGAATATCTCGCCTTAGCCAATATATGGTTTTGCTGCATGCGATACTTTGCGGTTCAAAAGGGCTGTTGGACACAAGGATCTCTTTTACATTGATGACAAGGATGTGGAGTTAAATAATGTAAGAGCTATACAACCGTCAAATGCTTCATTTCATTTGATGCATAAGTTCCTTTAATGACTCGTGTTTACACTTCTTTGCAGGTTATTGAGGCACCTTTATCTAAAGCAACTGTTGAGACATCCGTTGTTGCTCACTGGCTGGCAGTTGAAGGTGTTCAGCCTGCAGTCGCAGAAAACTTGCCAACTGAAGGTGGCTTCTCTGCATGTGCTGTGTGAATTTTTTTTTTTTTTTTTTGGGTGTGGTAACAATTAGGTCTGTGGTGCATTGGTATTCATTTCACCATAGAACCTACTCTATTAAAATCAGAAGCTGCAAAGTTATTTGGATTGTTTATCGACATTGCTTGTAGAACCCCATGATGGAAAGAAATCTGACTTGAAGGAGGAAGACCTTCCTTATGACTCTAAAGCACCTACTAAGAATGTGATTTCGAGGGATCTCCAGGTGCATTATCTTGGAATGAAATTACCTAAGCTGTATTGAGAAAAGAGTTTTCATACCTTTTTCTTCTGCAGCTTTACTTTGAGAAAATTACAGGCCTGACCTTGAACAAGTCTGGGTCTATTCCCTTTAGAGAAGCTTTAAGGAGCCTAGCAGTGGACTCAGGAATTCAACCTTTGGTTCCGTACTTTGCATGCTTCATCGCCGACGAGGTACCATGTCATAGATGTTTTCTTATTTTCCATTCTTGACATTTGTCAAAGTTAATCTATTTTTCACTCATGTTGGGCTGATGGTTCCTGCATCCTAGGTTTCAAAAAATTTAAGTAATTCTCAACTCTTGATTTCTTTGATGAGGATGATATGGTGCCTTCTTCAAAATCGGCAGATACATGTGGCACCTTATGTAAGTACATGGTAGTATGGTCAATCTATCTGCTTATGTTTGCAATTGTTATGAATTTTGTTGATTGGATCTCTACTGTTACAAAAATTTAAAATGGTCCATCTTTGAAGGTTTCATGTTGTTTTGATTTAATGTTGGTATATACTTGAACAGATAAATATGTTATGATGGTCTATTGTTCCTTTCTCCAGTTACACCAATTGATGCCATCCATCATTACCTGCCTTGTTGCAAAACAATTAGGTAAAAGATTTTCTGACAATCATTGGGAGCTTAGAGACTTAGCAGCAAGCCTGGTCTCTTTGATATGCAAAAGGTGATTGTTTTTCCTTTTATATACCATGACATTTTTTTCTATAACAAATATCTGTCAAAGAAGTTCCAATAAAAGCAGGTTGAAATTCCTTGCAATATCCTTCATTTCAAATGCTCTGGTTTCTGCCTGAAAACCATATTCCTATCTATCATTCTGGCTTTCCCTCTTCCAACATAGGTTATGCATTCTGTATGGTATAAAATTCATTAAAAAACCCACAGATAGATATGTATGCACCCGTCAACTTCATTACGGGGACTGGAATGCTGGATGTCTTCATCTATTTCCTTGTTGCATCTCTTTTTCTCCTCTTATTCTTTATATTACTTATTATGGTTGCAGATTTGGACATGTTTATCACAATATTCAACCTCGTGTAACCAAGACTCTTCTCCATGTTTTCTTGGACCCCTCAAAATTATTACCTCAGCATTATGGTGCAGTTCAAGGGCTAGCAGATCTTGGACCCTCTGTGGTAAATCTATTTGCCAATGACTTGATGTATACTGAAGGGAGATGTCATAGAATCTATCAACATGATTATTTTAGTTTCACATTTAAATCGAGAATGAAAGATTGCCCAGTTGTCCTAGAAAATATTGTCAATCTTGGACACAATAAGTTTGTTTTAGATCATTCTTAATTAATGATTCATGCCCTTCACAGGATTGCCATCTTGCTTTCGTAGTTTTCAAGCACAAAATCTGGTGCACTGTTTTCTCATTTATAAAGAAATCTCATTTTGGACTCTTTTTCTTTTTTTCCCTTGTTTGATGTATTGATGTTAGTAAAGCTGAAACTGAGTCTGTCTTGACTTCTGAATAGGTTCGCCAGTTTATACTACCAAATCTTGAGCCATATCTGCAATATCTAGAGATGGAGAAGCAAAAGAATGAAAGTAGGAGGCATGAAGCTTGGCTAGTTTATAGTGCCTTACTGGTTGGTTAATATTTCATCTGTCTTTCAATTTGGTTCATATTTCATCATCTGTCTTTCGATTTTGGGTCATATTTCTAGCCTTCAGCTAACAAAACCCATTTTCTCCTAGCATGCAGCTGGTAAATGCATCCGTGGTTGGTTGAAAGTGTTTCCTCTTTCTATATCTCCACCAATACCTAGTACTTCGAAAATCAATGGGAAAGTCCTGATGAAAATCTCAAGTATGATCTCTTCCCCCTACCCAAACTCTTAAGGATCACAATTTTCACGTGGAATCTGATGCAAATGCATGAACCATACTGCTTTTAGAATTTGGTGATGTTCCTAAGATGCCTGCATGAATGACATGGTCGTTAACAAGTTTGTTTTTTTGTTTCTTTATAAAGGCCAATTTTGGCTTGTGTGTGTACATTTTTCTGGAAATTGGATGGATGGGGTACTAAGAGATTCAATAATGGAGATAGAAGTTGTCATAAAACTAAGTTAATTTTCCATCATCGACTTCTGACTTCTTACTCTTTACCTGCATTTTACTCGTAGATAAACGCAGATCTAGTGCAGACAACTTGGGGCATCAACCAGCACTCAAAAAGATGGCGACAGATAGCACATTGGGTGCAATTCCTATGAACTCCATGATGGTCGATATTCAAGGGGCTACAAGCTCCATGCCACTTGGAGGTCCCAATGTAGGTGTGGCTCGAAAATTTCCAAATGAAATGAAGCCAGGGAGGGAAGGAGTTGGAGGTGAACAAGATGTCAAGGGTTCTTCTACTCTTGCTGTAGCATGGAAGGAGGATTTGGATGTTGGGCCGTTGCTGACTTCTCTTTTTCAACTCTTTGGTGAAGACCTGTTTTCGTTCATCCCAAAACCCGAGCTATCCTTCTTTCTGTGAATCTAAATTTAATGTTATTTTAAATGTTTACATCAAGCAACTAGATTGAGTGGTCATGTTGTAATTATCACCGTCAGACCATTGAAACGAATCATTTTGAAGAATAGTTGGATTCCTTAAAAAATATTGTTATGGTGTGTTCGTTTGAATTTACAATTTACTCGAGTGGATAAGACACATTTTACTCATTCAAGACTTTCTCTTGATAACTTGATAGATTAAAATAGCACTAAAATAATCTTTTAAACGACAGACAAAATCAACTAAACTTTTAATTCATTCAAATGACGAAAATTGCTGATTACAAATCAATGCAAGTAATTAGCAGGCGGGAAGGTAAGGTTGTTTTATCGTCATTCAAGTGGAAGCAACTAAACTTGCAAGAGCATAACATATACAAGAGAGAGAGATTCACAATGCTTTCCCAAGGCAAGAGAAACTTTTGCAAGAAGGAATATTTGGCTAAAAGAAGAGCCTTCGACCTCGATTAAGCGTTGGTGATGCAGCAGCAGGCGATAAGTCGAGACGGAGGGGTGACGAGGCCTTGCTGCTTTTTTCTTGATCTCCTCCAGTCACTTTATCAATAAGTTTTGAAGCCCTGGGATCAGCTAACAGTATCTTCTGAAAGGACTGAGAGAACCCTGTTGCAATTATGGTTACATGGATTTCTCCGCTGTACCTATCATCCACAACTGCCCCAAATATTATGTTCGCTGATGGGTCTGCCAAACTTGTCACAACCTGCCAATTTTGTATCCCCAAACAAAAACATCAGTTTGTACTCAAACTCAAAACAATTCAAGAATCCATATAAGAAGTTCATAACCTGAGAGACTCTGTTCACTTCCTGAAGAGTTATGTCCTTTCCCCCCGTAATGTTATATACCACTCCTGTAGCTGACTGAATGGATGATCCTATCAAGGGAGCCAAAGTTGCTTGCTCAGCCGCCTCTTCTGCGCGATTTTTGCTGGAGGAAACGCCAACTCCGAGCATTGCAGTTCCCGAGTCTTTCATGACAGCTTTCACATCAGCAAAATCCACATTGACCAGCCCCGGAATCTAGAAAGTGAGGAAGCAAAGACTAAATAAACGATAGGCAACTAGTAATGACACAAATGCGTACTTTTCCTGATTGAATACCCGACTCTAAAACGTGATAAAAAAGATACATTTGGCATCAAAAGTTAACAACTAAAGCTACTTATAATATTTATATAGAACAACAAAGATCCCATGTTACATCTGTTTATTATGAGTTCTCTAACACTCCCCAAGGGACGGCATGGTTGCAAGTGGTCTCCGAGTAACACCTACCCAAAGATTCCATGTTCAAATCTTCAAGTGAACTTCATAAGGAAAACTCTTTTTAATATCTCTCAGGTCCAAACCCGTGGACAACTACAAGTATGTCCTGGGGTTGGCTCCAAATACCATGATATATATATATATACACACATAACAATATATTAACTAAATAATGGCCCAACAAATGGTGCGGCAAACGATGAAAATCGAAATGTCTAAAAGACTAATGAAGATCAACTTGATAGAAGCACACAAAGTTAGGACATATAATTTTGGCAACCATAAAAAATATCCCAAAGAATTGCGACTTATTTAGTGTCTTAGTCATACTTGTCGGGGCGTGTTGCTTTTAGCCGCATACCCATTCCAAACATTTTTACCTTGCTTTTATCATGTTTTTTATTCTAACATAGTTATTGATCTTTCACCATTTTTCATGTTTACACTTGGTCAAAGACAATTTACCTTAAAATGTACTATAAGGAGATACAACAAGTAGTCAAATCTTCTTACCTAGGTTATATGATATCAATGTTGTGCGGTCTCTTTTCACTTGCTAGCATATAACACCTACTTTCTTAAATTTCATTCCAAACTTTCTCTAACCCCATTTTCTAAAACTGTTTTCCAAAAACAAGGGGTAGAGGCTAAATTTCCATTTATGCCACTGACAACCCAGGTTTTAGTTGGCTGCCTTACTCCAAGGAAAGAGTAAGTGTCGCGCAATCATCGTGAGTCCAAAAAGAGTGATTGTGAGAGTTTGTATCAATGTCGAGTTGACTCATATAAGTGGAATCAATAAACATGTCCCCAACTAAGTAGTTGGGAAAGTCTTGTGTTGACCGATTGGTCGAGAACGTGGTAGCTGGCTGCCTAGACCGATGCCCATCCAAGAATTAATTTTGAGGGTTGAGCCCATAAAAGACAAAGCCACATGATCTAGTGGCTTCGAGCAGAGGAATAGATAGCTCAACGGGCTCTATTGCCCACTGGAGGAACGTGTCAAGGGTTTAGACAACTTCTAAAATCGATGATCTCAATCTTTTTAAAAATGTAAAGGTTGTCCTCAATGTGGAGAGAGCCGAAATGGCAAATATAAGCACAAGACTAAACCTCACTACGAGAGTGGAGTACCAAACCTCAATAGGAAGCAAGGTCCAATTTAACAAGGTGAAAATCTTGGAGCCTACACCCTTTTGTGGGATTCCACATGTCAATGTTCTAGAGAATTTTATCTATGACCTCGAACAATACTTTCGAGCCACCGTGGCAGAAAAAGCAAAGTTCAAGTGGACAATTAACTATACATCTAGCTGAAGATGCAAAATTGTGGTGGAGATCTAGGTACATGGATATCCAAGATGGTCAACATATCATAGACACTTCAGAGATATTAAAACAAGAGTTTCGTTCAGATAGAGATTGAGCAGGTGTAAGAAAAATACCGCGACGTCACACTAGAAAATCTACCTATAGTCTTGCCCCCACACAGAGAGATAGATCACGAAATTGAGTAACTACCGAGGGTAGGACTGCCTACCAAAAATGTGTATCGTAAGGCTTCACTGAAACAAGCCAAACTTAAAAGACAACCGGACAAATTGTTGACGAATGAAGAAATGGGTTGATCTAAAACAGATGAAGAAATGGGTTGATTTGAAAAGAAAACCACAAGAAAGCTGGAGACCAAGGGTTTATCAAGCTAAGACCAGAACAATTTTAGGTTCGAGGTAGCAGCGATCAATGACTGGCACGAAAATATGAAAGACTAGTAGAAGTCATTGAGAAGGTCTGTCTTCATAGATGAAGATTCACCCTATTATCCATGTAAGTAACTTGAAAGCATACCATCTCAATCAAGAGGACATGAGGCGCAATGAGGTGACACAACCTCCTGCCACAATGAAGAATACTGCTAGAAAAAATGAAAGAGATCCTAGGTGAAAGCACGCCATGAGTCAGTAACCCAAGAAGAGATGTACCGAAGTTCCTTGTAAACTGGAAGAGACTCCCTGATGCTAAAATCAGTTGGGAGCACATCGAAAACCTGAAGTCAATCACGGTTCACATTGTTGAGTTAGAGCAAAGTCGATTTACGGGAACATCGACCAGTTTAGTAGGGCAGGATACCATGATCATGCTTGTCCAATGACCGTTAACAATAGCCGCATGCCCATTGCAAATCTTTTACATTACGCCTGCCACAAGAGACCTCACTCTCTCTCTAGAGTGTTGATTCTCTTACAACCTTCCGTATACTCTTTATTGGTCCCTTTTAAATCATTGATTGAAGAGGGAAGCTCTAATTGCACCATCTTTGCATGCGGCAGGGTATTAAATCTAGAATTTTCTTGACAAAATCTAAATATAGTTTATATTCACCCATATTGGAGTTGGTTCCCCTTCTTTAGTTAGGGAGGACAAGGGATGTGAAGAGATGACCTCGCACAAGAATAATGGACTTTCTGAACATCCCTATCGTTTATTCAAGTTCATTGTAGACATGAACAATACCCACAGTAGACTCACTTATCTATAGACTGTAGACTTGTTCGACAACCCTATTTTTTTTTTATCAAACTTATCCACAGCTCTGACCAAATAACCCTTTTCTTCTTTCAAACTCATCCATTGATTGATAAAATAGCCCTAGTGAACAACCCTATCATTCTGTCTACTCATCCAGAGATGACCTTGAACAAGAATATCCGACTTTCGAACAACCCTATCGTTCTATCTCAAGTTCATTGTAGGCATGAACAAGCCCCCTCATAGACTCACTTATCTGTAGGCTGTAGACTTGTTGGACAACCCTATTTTTTGATCAAGCTCATCCACAGAATGACAAAATAACCATATTTTTCGGTCAAACTCATCCGTTAATTGATAAATAGCTCTACTGTTTGTCAAGCTCGACCATAGCTTGACAAAAAAAAAATAATAATAATAATAATAATTAATTAAATAAATAAGCCCTATTGCTCGGTCAAACTCATCCATAGATTGATAAAAATAACCCAATTGTTCTGTCAAGCTCGTCTTTATATTGATAAATAACCCAACTGTTCTGCCAAGCTCATCTTTAGATTTATAAAATAACCTTATAGTTCTGTAAAGCTCCACAACAGCTACTCCCCTTCAATATGTAAGACAAATATGTGAGTTTCAATAATAGAATCAATGGTACCCCTAGTCCTCTTACAATACTCTCCAACAAAAACACTCAAGATACCCTTTTATTTTGGGATTTTTTTTTTTTTTTTTTTTGAAACATTGAACTTGGGAAAAACTGTAAAATAGAGGGCATCAGCCACACGATTTCTCCCTACCCGTGGGCCATGGTAAAGACAGTCCTTGATTTTCGTCAAACTGAAAGATTGTAGCCACTCCCTACCTCCAAAGCAAATTAACAACTAATGAAGACCATCAGCAGGAGGCTACGGTTGAGGGGCAATCATAAGCATTAGTAATAACAACTAACAATCTGTCTCTCTCAAATTCTTACCCACTCATAAGAATCCATTTAATTCAGATTCACACATACATGAATGCTCAATCTCTCAACGCTAGCAACTTGGTGTAATACTTTGAGAGAGAGAGAGAGAGAGAGAGAGAGAAGAGAATTAAAATCACCCTCATGACTTCACCTAACATGGACCTTTAGCTTTCAATTTATCTCATCCTTAAGGGGAGCAATTCTTCTAATTCTTTCTATAAGCTCCATCTAATACTTCTAAATTCTTGACAACACTGTGTCCCCTTCTCCAATCCATCGAACTCCAAAGTAGATGTCTATTCTCGATCAGTATTTTTTTTTTCCGGGTAAGAAACCAATCAACCAAGAAAAAATGTGGAGGAAATATTTATGTATCACAAACAATTCTCACCGTAATTATATCAGAAATTCCTTGTACTCCTTGACGTAGAACATCATCAGCAAGAAGAAAAGCATCTTGAAGGGGTGTCTGTTCATCAGCAATATCAAGCAAGCGATCATTGGGGATTACTATAAGAGTGTCAACATTTTTCTGCAATTTTTCAATCGCCTCCAGCGCCTGACAAGAAGTAAACATTAAAATGTAATATATATTGAAGCCAAAATCTTTCACATAACTAAATGAAAATGGGTTTATCCTCCATGTTATCATAATGGAGTAATATTTCAAATATAACAGTTGTTCCAGGAAAACATAATGTAAAAACGGTAGCCAGCTCATTCTGCACCTTGCAACCAACCAACCAAAGCAACGGAAGGCCACCACTTATGTAGTCTATTACCATTTTTACCAAAGCAAAAAGAAACACCACATACTTTGATGCACACCACAGCAAAATTTTAAGGGTTCAATCACACATATTCTAAGAGAATCTGAACCCAAGGGGGAGGGAAGAAGCTAAATTCATTGTCTAAGGAAGTCAAAAAATAAATATGCAGTCATTTTAGAAAAGGAAGAAACCTACCTGCAAGGATCGTTTTCTCCCTTCAAAACTGAATGGATAAGTAACAACACCAACAGTCAGGTAACCTGCCTCCTTGGAAATCTGGGCAACAACTGGGGCCGCACCAGACCCAGTGCCTCCACCCATACCGGCCGTTATAAACACAAGATCAGAGCCCTTGAGAGCACTAGCTATCGCTTCTTTTGATTCTTCCGCCGCTTGTTCCCCTAAAAGTGGATTCCCACCAGTACCTGCATCTCTATCAAGAAACAAATCAACGAAAGTCGAAGACACAATAGGCATCACTACACAGGTCACAATGCTACTTAGTCACATAGAACAAAACCCCAAAAGGCCGAAAGAACCAAAAGAAAAAGGCGAAGTTCCTGACCTAGACCACGTGTCAGAAGCTCTCCAATTTGAAGTGGATTCTCAGCAGCAGTCTGTACTAGGGCTTGAGAATCCGTGTTTATGGCATAGAAATCAACACCCTAACACAAAACTCAATAACCATAGCCATCAGTCTCCATTGTACCCAACTGGGCAACCAATATTAATTTGGGCACACATTATATCGATAGTACAAACAGACAAACATATCGTTATACAAATGAATGGACTCAAAATTGACTGCAAAGCCACTCAAAGCATTCCCAGCTCCACAAAGTAATGAAGTTGGTTTGTGGATGCAATCAACGATTAAATGGGTGAATCTCTAACAATAACGGAATTCAGAGAATAAAAAAGCGCAAATCTACACGAACTTCCACTCTTATTTGCCCTCAAATTCGACACATTGAACCTCAAGGGAAGTCTATGCAATGCGAAGGGAAAACGCACCTTCAAACCGCTGCCAATCATGCGATTAACGGCATTGTTGCCGCCTCCACCAACTCCCACTACTTTAATCTTGGCGGACTCCATAGGAGAAAATGAGCAGCTAACAAAGCCAACATGGTGTCTTCGAGAGGGACATTTTCGGTTGCAATTAGAAGAGGAAGAGATCCAGGATGGCTTGTGATAGAACTGAGGGGGAATTGAAGAAGTTGATAGATTAGAGAGTTGAAATGCTGCCATAATCGGAGAGTTGATAGAGTTCCGAAAAGCGTGGAGTCCCCCAGAAAAATGGAAGACCGAGAGGAACAGGTGCAGGCTTTAGGGTTTTAGAAAAAGGGTAACGTCATTGAACGGAAGGAGTTGGAGGAGGCGAAACGCTATCATTTCCTTGTGAGAACTAAATCTTGTCCGTTTTTGTAGGCCAAATGCGAGCAAATTTTTGGATAATTTGTTGCATTTCTTTACATGAAATTTGAAAATAACGGATTTAATGTGAATATAGTTTTGGCTAACTAATAGAATATAATTTACCTATCATAAATTTTCTAATATTTTCGATCGAATTCTCGTGGCAGATGTTGTTTAACGTTGTTTAAGCTCCAAAGTGGCCTTTATATGGAGAGGCATGACATTGATCCATACATTTCATTGATTAGTCTTCGGCTCCACCCTTTTGGCTCCAAATCATCCTTCGCAAGTCTCTTTCGTCTCTAACACAATCTCTGTTTCTCTTTACCCGACATAGTCTCTCATTTTCTTTCCAATTGGCCCTTCATCCTTCATAAAAACCCTATCCTCAAGATCCTCACTAGCGCTCTCATTGGAAATATACAAAATCTCGACAAGCCCATCGACCTTCTACAGAGATTTACTCTCGAAATTCGGTCGTCGCACTGGACCTCTTCACCAACCAGGTCGCCGCCAGCCTCTTCGCAAAATCAGCTCATTTGCCCACTGTGGTGACTCTTCCGACTTCAACACCGCCTTCGTCTCTTACTCCGAAGGGCGTGGCTCCATCTCTGTCCATTAGAACTTCACCATTTGTTTTGGCATTGGCTACTTCTCCACTTGCTCGGCCTTCACTCATGACAATGGTGGTTATGTGAACAGAATCTCTAGATCTATCATTCCTGATGGTCTCTTTATTAGTTAGTTAAAATATACTCGAGACATTCTTACTCTGCTCAATAGCAAACCCGTCCACAAACTCCACTCCATCTCCGCCCCTCTCTTTCTTTCTTCGCCTAAAATACACCCCTGAGTCGGCATTCTTAGTTTCTTCTTTCTTCTTCCTCTATTGTTCCTCTCTTCTTTATAGCCACCATCGAACCCTCTCTCTATCTCTTGCCATCTTCTCATAATAGAGTAATTGCCCTAAATCTGAAGCCTCTACCTTGCATGCGTCTCTATAGTCCACACGAGATTTTCTATTTTCTCTCTAGTTTTTTTTTTTTTTTGTTCTATTTGCGACTTGACCAAGACCATCTCTCTCTAGTCTCCTTATTCTTCAGGTTTAGACATATTCTCGTCAGAGCCAAGGTAGCATCGTTGTTGACCGACGATCCCTCTGCAGTTTTTGCTGGCCAAGAAAATGCCGTGTCGCCGAGATATCTCCAACGAATGAGGTTACTGACATCTTCACAAAAAGTGTTTCCCGATCTCTCTTTGAATTTTTCAGATCCAAGTTTTACGTTCGTTCAAATCCGACGTGCAGGAGTATTAAGGGTATTTAGTCCTGAATTATAGTTTACCATATATCATATTTGATATTTTATTATAGGCAAATATCTAGATATTTGTCTCCCAGCCTACTCTAAGAATCATATTTGTTTTTTTATTATACGAAAATATCTTGTATACATTGATTGTTATTTCCATTTCATTTGTAATTTATTTGATGATTATAAATAGAGAATTTCACCACCATTTATGTGGGGTGATTTTAGCAAATATTCTCAGCATACATAGTAATTCTCTGCACGCGGTCATGCAGAACCCACTAGGTGATCTCATATACGTACCCCCTAAGTTTAACTACACGCTAGCACATGCTCACGCTGCAGAATACCAACGATAAGAACATAGTGCATATCATATCATGGTGTACTTGTTTGTACAAAATATATTTAAAAATTATTTCATGCTCGTGACATTCAACATGCATGAAGTTCCACATTTTCAAATCATCGTACATGGTTATGATTCACGTAGCACTTCCCTACTTTTCATGACATAACATTCCTATGAGACATACATACGTGTACATGGCATATTACTCATTCTTAACATAAATGATTCATCAAATGTTTCATAGGGGATAACGTAAATATGGTATCATAACATGCATGGATTAATATATTGGAATTACATGCCTCATAGAAAGTTCATAAATATTGCATCATACAAGTAACAACATATAAATAAGTCAGAGTAGGTGTTATTCATACAACATACAAATCACCTAACCTAGCCAAAAGACGTTTCAACAATATGATCACTTATTTGTAGGCTTATGCCAAAGTCACTAATTTTCTACATTAGTGTTCATTAGATCCCGCTTATCGAGATCTTATTATACTTATGGTACTCAATGACATCATAATTAAAATACCTCTAAGAAATTAAATCACTTTAACTCCTTAAATTTGATCGAAAAACGAAGTCACAACTATATTTGTAAGGTTTTGATAAGGAAAAAATGAAATCACAACTAAATAAGATGAAAAAACAGAAACAAACACAAATACTTAATATGGATATGCAGTTAAAATAAAGGCTAAAAAATACTCTTAACTATAAAAAAATTAAAAATTAAAAAAAACAAAAACTGTTTTTCGAATTCACGGAGAATTAATATCTTCTTGCTTGAACTTATTATTATTGGTTGATGTCGAGGATATTTAGCCCTAAGTTATGGTTTAATATGTATGTTATGGGCAAAATATCTTGTATCCATTTATTGCTTTTCCACTTGTTTTGTAATTTATTTGATTTTGTAAATGATTATAAACAAAGAACTTTTACCACCGTCTAGATGTGGTAGTTTTAGCAAATATTCTCAGGTTATTAGAGCCCATTCAGTTTAGCAACTTCGATTCTTCTTTTTCATGGCTTTTGAATTCTCTTCTCATCTTCTTTTCTACCACCCCTGCTGACTTTAGCGCCGTAGAGGCAGGCACCCGTCACCATGGTTGATATTTTATTCAAATTTTACTTTGGTGGATCGGTTTGGAAACCAAATTTTGTGTTGCACCCATCATTTTGCGACCTCTTTTGCAATTATCCCATTATGGTATATTATTATTATTTTTCTAAAATTTTCGTAAATTTTAGTCACTTTTAAATTTTTTTTTGGTCCTTTTGATATTCATTCTCTATGTTTAATTAGAAATCAAGAAGATTCATAAAGATAAAAAAAATATTCATTCTCTATGTTTAACGGTGTAAGTGTGAGTATGCATGATTAGGAGGTTTAAATCAAGAGATTGATTCACATATTAGAGATGTCCTTGCCAAAGGCTCGAATACCTACCGAGATAAAACTTAGTACTTTAAGCTATAAAGAAAACATCAGCTACGCTTAATACTCTAAATAATCATGAGATTCAATTACACAACTGAATCTTAATGCTCCCACAACAACTTAATCTTAATGCTCCCACAACATGATTAGCCTCAAGAACTAGTCCATATATTTTTTAAAATAAGAACTCAAGTTATAAACCGTTGAGATGTCCTTAAGAATTTAGTTTAGCAATTGTGAATGATATCACTAAAGCCGAGACTGCTTTCTATTCCCTTCAATATGTTAGTAGAATTATTAGGGACATTGGTTTCGAACTCGTAGTATTCTTGTCTCGATTGGTAGGCCTATGATAGAATATCATCGAGCTTGACCTAGATGATCTGACAAGATAGTATTTCAAGGTTCGACCATGTTTAGTCTCACTCTCGTATGTGGAAATGGTAAAAAACCTCTCAATAAGACATTTGTTCCATAAACTCACCTTGAAAGGAGCAAGGGATCACATAAATAGACTCCGTCAGTTGACTGGCACACGAATTGCTCCTCTAGATTTAGTGTAATGAAATGATCTTATAGATGGGTTGTAGTTAACCTTTCACAAATGATATTCAGGATCCATTCATGATGTCATATTATCGTTCATGTATTCAAATTTTTATGAGGTTGCACCTCTCAAATTCATGGATACCAATGATTTACATCTTAGGCAATGTAAGCTAGCTAAGTAAGATGAACAAAAAAGTTAGTTCACCTCAAAACTTCATAACTCAAATAGGTCATTCATGAGATTGTGTAGTAATATATTATGTGAACTATCTGTTAGGATTGCACAACTCACACACTCGATCTAGACGAAGAATATGAAAAACAAAAGATAGAAGATTCAAGGAGAAATATACATTGAACTCATAAGTAAGCATTAGACTCCACAACCTAACAAATCTCCCACTTGGAGACTGATCCAGTCAATCCAAAAATTCATTCTCAAAGGATTCTCCTCATCATCCATATGTTCATCGAATCACAATATCTATAGAAGCTACAAAAGACCAATCAAGTTTTCACACCATCTCTATTTTCCAACATCAACACATTTTTTTCAATATGTTTGCTAGATGCACCCTCTATCTTCTCAAAACACATAACACCTTCTTTCACTTACTTGTGAGTGAAACTGAATTGTCTTTGAATGATACATTGGATTTTTCACAAAATGTACGACACTTGTCTTATCTTAGCCCTCACTTAGTCAGTTAAGTGTCACTTCTATGTCACTACCTTGTCTATTTGCATATAGGGATCACAACATATTATCTTCATAGTATTGTTGTAGGGATCACAACATATTATCTTCATAGTATTGTTGTGACACTCTCTCCTACTTAAACTAGTCATTATCCTCGATGAATCTTCTAGGTGTACAATTGCATCATGTATTGTGATATTCTATCCCACTTAATCTTGGCATCATCCTAATGACGATCTAATAAGGATCACGGTGTTTCAAATGTTCCAACTATCACACAATCCAAGACCAAGAAGGTTCAACAAGCATTCTTTTTTCATCTACAAAATTGGATAGGCTCGATTTAACTATCATTTCATGCGTTATAAGCTAATTTAATTTAGAAATGATCGTTTGGAGCTTCGGAAGTGAATATTTGCATGATTCTTTTTTTTTTTTTTTTTTTTGTGGAGATTTAAAGGACAGTGGGAGTAAATCATGACCACTAAAGAATTCTTTGGTGGGAATTTGAAGAGTTACAAAGTTTATTTTGTGGAGAGACAATAGATACCACAAATTACTATTTAGAAGATAGATTTTTTATGAAAGTAATTGAGCTTTGAAATTGAGACTTT